GTGGCAAAGGGTACAGCTGCGTAGGCTCTTCCAGGCCACGGGGAATTACATCATCGCTGGTTATTTATATACATATATATATAAAATATGTATGTGTGGGTAGGTTAAGGGAGACATTAATTGGTCAGCAAAGTACAGGAGACAAATTATTAAAATAAAGCTCAGTTAGCCATTCAAGAGATTTGTAAGTCTGAAAAGGTTTTAAAAAAAAAACAATTGATGATCTGTTTTGATACTGAGCTTTTATATTTTAATAAACTATTGGTCTGTTGGGAGGTTGCTGATGTCCAGACGAACCCTTTCTGCTGTTACTGCTGAAACACCGTGCCCTGCTTAGGCTAGGCTCTCTGCCGAAGGCAACGCACTGCCTTTAAAATGGAAATCACAAATGCCAAAAGAAGATGTTTAGAGAAGCATGGGAAGGTGCCTTGGGAGGTTTGGGGGTCCAGCTTCTCCACAGGGTTTTCTGAGGGGGGAGGCCTGGTGAAGGGCCTCCTGGCCTGCGCCCCTCTTCTCCGAGCGTTGAGAGCACCCAAAGCACCAAACCAGCAGAAACGCAAGCGCTCAAAGGGCATCCCCGGCCTGTGCAAACAGAGAGGGATGGAGGCCCGCGCAGGGTTTCAAACCCGCTAAACATCGCATGGGGCCACAGGCTGCTGAGCTGAAAAACAGGCAGCAAAGTCAACAGCTGGAAGAGCAAATAAAGTAAAACCGATCAGGTTGCTTTCCACGGGCCAAGTGCTTAAAGAGGCATTTGATTTTTTCAAAGTTTGTCTTGGGAGACGTATCGGGGTGACACGGTATCTGCTATCGGAGTAACGCAAGGTGAGAAGGTCGTAGAACAAGGCTCAATAAAAGCCTATGGAAGGACAGAAGACGCAGATTTAGCCGCTATTTTGTGCGGGGATGTGGTCATAGCTGCAGGGATGTGCGTAAGGCGCAAGCAGGAGGCCAGTCCCACCACAGACGCTCACCAGCGGAGAGCAGAGCTGGCGCCTGCTCTGTACAGAGCACGCGCTCATGAACATCTTCCCCTGTGATCCCCGCTGGACCCTCTAACAGCTAGTTGATATTTTATTGGACTTTTTCAATAACATCACCTCCAACCCAGGTAAGGACTGCCCAGTGGTGAGAGTTGATCTTCAGCGCTGTTTCTGTTTCCACGTGTTTCTTTCTTCCAGCATGCTATTGAAATCCTCAGCCTCCACGTGGACTGCAAAGTCACATCCCGATTTGCTCACACTGTCATCACCAGCAAAATTGTCAACCGGGCTAATGAATCCAGCGAGGCGACCTTTGAAGTGGAGCTACCCAAGACGGCCTTCATCTCCAACTTCTCCATGTAGGACCAGCCCTTTCCTGTGGTGCTGACGAGGCGGCCCTGGGGGTGGGGGAGACGTTCATCCATCTTCTGAGGAGCTGCTGAGCAAAGCACAGAGCTGAGCTCTGGGGGGGCCCTCATGAAACACTCTGTGGGACAAAAAGTAGAGACAGAGTGGCCAGGGTCAAGGAGAGCCGCCAAGAGCGGTGTTTCTCCTGCTCCAGCCTCGCCAGAGGCCATGCAAGGGGGGAGGGCCATGTCATGGTGGTGGCTCCAAGCAAGCCTCAGTGATGGGGAGAGACGTGGGAGCTAAGAGGTTTCCTCTGTTTGTGCCCTGAGGGCCATGAAGTACTGGCTTCCTCTTGTTTCTTCCACAGCAGGTTCCCTCTAATATTAATTAAATTTTATGAAAAACAAACAGGTCCATTGATGGCGAAGTATACCCGGGAATTATAAAGGAGAAAGCATCTGCTCAAAAGCAGTATGACACTGCGGTCTCGCACGGGCAAAGCGCTGGCCTCGTGAAGTAAGCTGCCGTTCTGAGCAAGGTTGTTTGAACGCCCCTAAAACCTTCCCACTTGCCTGAGGGCTGAGTTAGACCCTGAAGCCAGCCACCTTGCAGGAGAAATGTAAAAAGCAGCCTTGGGTTCCTCTTGGGAGGAATGATAGGGCCAGGGAGATTTGTCCGGAGCAAAACCCTGCGCGTGGGGCTGGTCGCCGGTTGGGGGGGAGGCAGCCCTGGGACCAGCCAGGACCTTGCGTGGCCTGGGACAGCATGTCTACGCGTGCGGCCGGGAGCGCAGGAGAGACAGCGGGGCGATGGCCTTGAAGGGGTCGTGGGAAGCACGGGCAACCGCAGCAACAGAGCTAGGAGCGTGGGCCTGGGAAGAAGCCCAGCGAGAACAATTTAGGGGCTGCTGAGGGAGTCATGGGTCATCTTGCAGGCTGGAAGGAGGAGAAATGTTTCCTGTCCTAGATTCACCTCCTGGGTCCTGGCTTTTTTTTTTTTTTTTTGCTTCCCTGCAAACAGGCAGGAGAAATGCCTTACTCCAGCGCCAATTTTTTAGCTGAAACAACCTGCTGGACCCTGAGTAACATCTGATGGTTCCAATTAAGAATTAACAGTAAACTGATCTTCAAATGAATGGCAGGAAAAGTCCTTGTCCTGCTCTTGGGTGGGGTTCTCTGCTCCGCTCCTCCTTTAAAAATACATCTCACAGAAGGCTAAATAATAGATGCAGCAACTTATATCAATCTATAGCTATCTATCTATCTACGCCACTTACATCTGATCCTGCAGTGGGCTAGGGACGCGGGAGGTGTCACTGTTCTGCATTACCCTGGGACCTGCTCTCGCGCAGGAGCGCCCTGCCAGCTTGGCATAGCGCTGGGTCTTTGAGTCTGGTTCCCCGCTGAGGTAGACGGCCGTGTCACTTGAGCAAACATCACGCTTCTGAGGGATGTTTAATCTGCGCTTCCTGCGTATTCGGTCCCACACCGATTTCTTCTGCAAACCTCGGTTTGCAGCCGCCTCAGCACACTAACACTATTGCAGTATGCAATATCTCCCGCAACGTAAAACAGCTGCTTCATGACCAATAAGATGACCTGCTTCTCTCTTCTTTACTTCGTATTTGGCCGTTATTTAGCGCGCTTTATGAACGTTGCCCCTGCGTGCAAACCTGCCCCGCAGGAGGTGAATCTCTGGTCTCCTTTGCAGAATCACGGGGAGAAAACTGGAGCAGTTTCACGTCTCGGTAAGCGTCGCGGCGGCCAGCAAAGTCACTTTTGAGCTGACCTACGAGGAGCTGCTGAAGCGGCAGCTGGGGAAGTACGAGCTGCTGATCAAGGTCAGGCCTAAGCAGCTTGTTAAACACTTCCAGGTGAGGCGCCCGGGGAGAGGGCCGGGCAAGGAGCGCCGCTGCCTCTTTCGGGCTTCCTCCGCCGCGCTGACGCGAGCCTTCTCCTCCGTCAGATCGACGTGCGCCTCTTCGAGCCCCAAGGCATAAGCTTCCTGGAGACCGACAGCACTTTCCTGACAAACGACTTAACGCAGGCGCTTACAAAAGTGCAGAACGAGACCAAGGTGAAACAGCGGCCGCCGGAGGCGAGCGGCGCTTTGCGGCACCTTTCAGTTTACGTTGCCTTAAATCGTCGCTTTTGGTTGCCTTTCAGGCTCGTATTCTGTTTAAGCCAACGGTAGAGCAGCAAAAGATAAATCCCGAACTTGATGAGACCCTCCTCAACGGGGATTTTCTTGTACGTTATGACGTTAGGAGAGGTGCGACTGCAGGTGATATACAGGTAAAAAAGAAGTAGAAATAAACTTCTTTCAGCTCACGGATATGTCCGAATATGAAGCGCAATCAGCGTCACAGGCTTGGGAAGACCCGCAGCAACAGAAAAAGCTCTTTCCGTTAACCCGGAGTCAGCGGGAACCGATGGTGATGCTCAATAAATCGCAGGCACCCTAAACCCGTTCCAGGAACGGATCATTCCTGGAAAACCAATCTTTCAAATGTGGTTTCAGTGCCAAATCTCTGTATATATATTTTTTTCTACCCAAACTTTGGCTGATCTAAGGTGTAGTCGTTGCTTCTTGTAAGTGAACTTCAGAGGAATGTGATTTATACAGCCATTAAAGTCGCTATTTTTTTTTTTTTTCACTCTTTGTGACAACCCAGACATAGCTGACGAGACTAGGAACTTAAAAATCCTTATGGAGCAATGGGGTCTTCTAGGGAATAAAGTGCGTTCGCTTCCCATACCGGCTCACTAATGAAGGTGTGCTAAAAGATGGCAGTCACAGCCCATGAGCAGAGCTGTGCTCATAGGTGATGATATAGAGGTAACATATATACAGTGACAATACAGATATAATATAGATATGGTATTGAGGTGTATATTCTATATAACACCAAAAAGCAAACCTTTAAGGTAGAAAATAATCTAAATATTCTGGTTTTATATCAGCTGCTTTAGGCACATGGCTTCTGCGGTCTCTGTCAATCCAGAGACTCCTGTTTTTCCCTCCATTGCACCCGACTGGTGCCACAGATTTGCGCAAACATGGGGTCAGGAGACCAAGCGCAGCGTCTGCTCTGCTCCGTTTGCAGCATCTGCCACACAACCTTCTGGCCAAAGGCTCTTTGCACAGTCAGGAGAACCTCTGCTGCAGCCGTTAGAGGGTCTGTCATCTCCTTCGAAAGACTAAAGAGGTTTTACACTGAAAAAAAATTGTGCAGTGACTCCATCTAGCATTTTAAACTGCTCACGCGATTTTGAGGCAGAATCAAAATGTGGTGGTACGGGAATATTAGGAAATATCCCTCCCACTCCCTCCCCAGTAGCAGCCATCACTAGTGCTGAAACTGCAGGAAATCAAGCAACGCATCACGCTTCGCCCTGCACCACCTTTCACTTTCACGCGTCTTCCTTTACCAAATTGCTTTCCCCCGACTCCAGGATATCTGTGGGTCTTTTCTTGAAGCGCTGGTCTTTGAAGAAGTGGGATTAAGAAGTTGGACTGAAATATTGACCAAGGCAAAGATGGTCTTGCAGCCACCCCAAAATGGTCCTGTCTAGGGCGGGTGTGTGAGGACCGTATCGCCATTCGCTTGCAGTTTGCTTTCTAAGGGCAGTATCTCTTCTGGCTAAGTAATACCTTTTACGAGTTCTTTGATTTGGGTCTACCTAGATAAACCAAATGCTGATCTTGGACCCCCCTTCTTGGTATGCCAGAAACATGAGGCAATATTTATGTGCAGTTTTATATTTATTTATATAATTTTGTATTGCAGATCGTCAATGGGTATTTTGTGCACTATTTCGCACCCCGTGAAATGCCAGTGTTTCCCAAAAATGTCGTCTTTGTTATAGATCAAAGTGGCTCTATGGCAGGCAGAAAGATTGAACAGGTAACTTGCCTCGAAACTCTGAATTCTGCTCGCATCTGTCGCGTGCACCCCCTAAGCGTGTGCTCCGATTTCTGAAGGTGCTTTGCTTTGTAGCCTTTCAGGGAAGCGACCGTGAATGTCCCTTTTGAAACACAGGCTATTTTTGTAGAGAGCAAAATTTCCAGGCGTATAGAAATACATGGAAATACGTATGCACAGGTTTAAGCTATTGAGCCGCATCGGGCAAGCGCTGCGCTTCTACGCATGGGTCGCAAAGCTTGAGACAGAAAGCACTTCTCTCTATCTTGATGCGATATTTTTCTTTCTCTTGCCAACAGACGAGGGATGCTCTCCTGAAGATTTTGCAAGACCTCCGAGCAGGAGACCACTTCGGCTTTATCACCTTTCACCGCAAAGTTGCGGAGTGGAAGAGCTCCTTGCTGGAAGCCACGGCGGAGAACGTGGCGAGCGCTGCAGTGTTTGTTCAAACTCTCATCGCTAGCGGAGGTACCAGGCACTGTCTAGATGTCGGTAACGCTAAATACACACCCAGCAGTGTACAAAACAATGTTTAGGGGGAAAAAAAATTATCACGTAGTGCCACAGAACTGGTCTAACAGATGCCAGTGCGTTTAGTTAAGCATCTTTAATGGATCTAGGGAGATTCTATTAAAGGTCAAATGTTTGCATTTCCCATTCCATACCAGAAAATGCTTCCCTAGGAATACGCCAGCGTTGCCATTGCGATATAACCCACCGTAATTAAACGTGGTAGGCTAAGCCCCTAAAAATTCATCTCCCTGAAGATTACCTCCTTCAGAAAGCTTTAAACTACCCTGCAGGGCCTCTGTAAATGAAGCGCACTGATTTCTCAGGACGCTTATGGTTTTTCAGGCGAGTGAAGCCTGCTTTCTCGTTACAGGCACAAACATCAACAGCGCCCTGTTGACCGCTGCGAGCGTGCTGGATAGAGCCGAGACGCTGCCAGCACGGAGCGTGTCCATGATTATTTTGCTGACAGACGGTCAGCCCACTTCTGGTAAGTCCTAGCCTCCGTCCTCTCTGTCCTCCTTGGTTTGGTGCCCTTACGTCCCAGCGGTTATCGGGCACGGGCTGTGTTTCAGAAGGTCCTCTGCTGGCCTGGGCTGCGCTGCTGCAGGATGCTGCTCTGCTCCGGGGAGAGGACGTTTACGGAAGGCCTCCGCCTTCCCGCTGCTCCGTCGGCCATTCCCGTTCCCCGCATTGCGACCCCGCGGCACCTGTCCCGTTCAGCCTAAAAGCCTCCTTTGGCCCCTGCAGTCTTCTAAAACACGTTGTACTTAGCTGGGATGATATGAGCAGAAGTAATGAGTCGTTAAGGGGAGAATTAGATGCTGGCAGTCAAAATGCAGAGCAGCGCTTTCCTCTCCAGTTCAGTTAATGGAACTCCTTTCCATATATTTTTAATGTTTTGTTTTGAGCTATTTTTAAGAGACTTTTCCCTCTTCCCTTTTAAGAGCGTTTTTCCCTTAAATCTGCCACTGTCTTTTCACACACAGAACGCACACATTTCAGGAGGTTGTTTTGTTGTTGGGTGTGTTTTTTTTCCCCCCTCCCAATCACAGGTGAGACTAATGTGGAAGTAATTCAAGAAAACATCCGGAAAGCCATCAGTGGGAAGTATGCCCTCTTCTGCCTCGGCTTCGGTTTTGATGTCAGTTATAAGTTCCTTGAGAAAATGGCCCTGAGCAACGGGGGAATTGCACGTCGTATATATGAAAATGCGGACGCAGCCTTGCAGCTCCAGGTCAGGCCTAAGGCTTTTCGGCTAGCTCTGCCTGAGCCCTTTTTGGCTGGCTGCACGGAGCACAAGCCCAAACCCTGGGAAAAAGTGCAGTAAAGAGGCAATTAGCCCCTGGTGATAGTCAAGTTAAAGAAAAAAGTTGTGAAAAGCAGTTAAAGAGAGACACCTAACTAGGTGGGATGTTCGTAAGGGGGAGGCTGCAGAAGTGCTTGGATTTCCGTGAGAAACGCAGCTTATAGGGCATTGTCAGCCTGCTTCTTGGAGAAGAAGGTGCACTGAAGCCTGCAAAGAAATGCTTGTTCTTTAACATTTGCAGCAGTTTTATACAGGCGGCTCCTGCCTGTCTCTTTCCAACAAAAAAAAAAAAAAAAAAAGCTTTAATTCCCTTCTTTTGGGGGGATTTTAGATGTTCAGCAGTTTGCTTTGCTTAATTTTGCAGTTGTTGGTGCTCCTTCTCTGTGCTTTTCCTTAGGGTTTTTATCAGGAGGTGGCTACTCCAATATTAACGAAAATTGAAATGCAGTATCCAGAAAATGCCATCGAGGGATTAACCAAGAACAATTTCAAGCTGTTTTTTGAAGGGTCTGAAATCATAGTGTCTGGAAAAATCAGCAATGAGCTTGAAGTTCTGCCAGTAGAAATTAAAGCTCAGTCAGTAAGTGTTTACCTTACTAAATTGCAGAAGAGGTATATCTCCGTGCTGTTTTTTATGGGGTAACAGGAGATTTTAAAACAACTTTGCATGCTACACGTGTTCTCTACATTTGGGCATTCAGTGATTTTCCCACTCTGGAAAAATATTTGAGAATCCGAATAATTTTCCCCTCCCAAATCTGCTGGAAAAGAAAAATCTTTGCGTGTTTTCACACACAAGCAAACATCAATTTTTATCATTTCAAATCCATGATGTTTTGGTCATTCAAGCATTTTTTTCTTTTTTAGAAAACTAATTTACTTTGACTATATTCTGGTCAAAAATGGAATTTTTGGTTTGCTTGGCTGGAATGCAGTCATGGGCAGCCATAAAGTATCAAGTGACATGACATAACATTTGAGAAGAGAACATGACTGAATGAATCCAATGAAATACAGTGATCATTAAATGTAAGAAAACGTATCACCCCGCTAGCTGTTCCTTCTTTTAGCTGAACTAAAAAGTCTGACCTCGAGCTCAGACTAGAAATAGCTGAGATGTAATCATTGATGACGTGGCATAAACCCGCACGCTTTATTGATGGGGTAAATAAGGAACACTTCAAAAGTATAGTTTTGGTCCCTATACTGTGAGTAGTAGCCTTCTGCTACATAAGATGTGGGCTGATATGTTATATGCTGATGTGTTTTAAAAAAATCCATAAATTTAGTTGATAAAAATCAGATGGTACCCTTGGTGAGCACGCGTTTTGTAGCACCACCCACTCCGAGCGGGTTCCACATGTGTGGTGCCTAAGCGCAGGCCAGTTTTGAGGGTCAAAAGGGTACTTTTGTACTGAAAGACCTTCTATTAAGCCTAATAATGGGATTATAAAAGAAGTCTAGAGCTGTTCTTTTGATGGTCAGTCGTCTCCCTTTTCAGCATACTAGTGACTTGACTCTTATAGAAGAAGCAAATGTTAAAGAGAAGGAGCGAGTATTTCAAAATCAAAGCTACATCTTTGGAAATTTCATTGAGAGATTGTGGGCTTACTTAACCATTCAACAGCTTCTAGAAAAATCGTAAGCTAATTTCATGTTTTGCATTATGAATTTGTTAACGCACTCTGTAAATTCCTTATTCACAAATGATATGATGGGAAAACTTACGGCATCAAGTAAGTTTGCTTGAAGCTTTACAAATTTTACCTACTGGAAGAATACAACACTACTGTATAAGCAACATGAGATGCCTTTCAGTTTAAGAAAGGGTTGCACTATCGAAGAAAGAAGGAAGGAAATATATAAAATATTTTCTTCACAGCATTTCTTTGAAATGCATCTTAATTGTGACGCTTGTGTTGAGCTGTTGTTACGCATCCAGTAATATTCCCTGTAGAGATGTGAATGGCAATCGCTAGTAGAGAGAGTAATAATAATAAGTATGTCCAGCAGACAGTCGTTTCCCAGTTCATGTATCTATCATTTTTATAGTTTTTATGATTTTATGTATTTGAACCATATCTAGGCTCAGTGTTGCAAACAATTAAGCCTTTCCATGGCTTCAAGCACACGAATAGCGGAGTTACGCCATCAGGCCTACTCATCCATGAGGAAGAATGTCTGTTAAGATGTAGCTAACATTTTGAAAAGCAACCTGAAGACCTCCTGCTGGTAGGCTCTAGGTTTTATTCCTTTGTCATTAACGTAGACTTTAGTATTTCAGCGCAAGAACAGCAGCAGAAAACCCTGGAGGCGCAAGCCCTGGAGCTGTCCCTGCAGTATGGCTTCGTTACACCCCTCACTTCCATGCTGGTCACCAAACCCTCTGACCAGCAGCAGACGGAGCTGGCGAACAAACCCACCGAAGCCGGTAAACGGGGCCTCGGGCGGGTGGTCGTTCACTCACGACGTGGGGGCCGGCGTCGGTTTATAGTGACGTGATGTGCCACGGCTGAGGCTGGAGGGTAGGCATCAGCCTCCTTTTGCAATAAGAGGCTTGGGGGGTTTTAACAGGTGAAGTGGGAGGAGAAATGGACACTCCTACTGAGATGGAAAATAATTTCTTTAAACATCAATTAAAAGTAATTTAAGAGTTGTTACTGAGCGTTCCCTGCCCCTGCAAAGGAAGCTCTGCGTTTTTGTCTGTGGCGTTAAAGCCAAACAAATGAATGCAGGAGAGCAGTGCTGTCTTCTCTAGGAGTCTTCTAGGTGCTATATCTACCCAACCTACATAAAACTCCCGTGGCCCAAGCACCCACCTCTCCCAGTTTTCAGATCTGCACGCGAGTAAAATGATCGAGTGTTGGCTGTATGGCACTAATCTATCCCTCTTCCTTGCATTAGATAACGAGAAGCCCAGCAGTTTCCCAGTAGGAGGTAATGCTTTCTTCCTTTCCAGTTGCGTATTTCCTTAATAATCTCGAATTCAAAAGGAATAATAATAACAACAACAACAACAACAGCAACACATAAAGCTCGTGGTGGTTGTCCTATAGCGGGGAGTATCTGGGTTTTGGAAAAATGGACATCAAGTAAAATGTAAGCAATGACTGGCAAGCTCTGTGTTGAGGTTGGCCGAGTAACACGGTCCAAAGAAGAAAATCTTTTATTCTCGAAGTGTCAGAGGCCAAAACTGTCTTTACTGGGGAGGAAAAGCAGTTTTTCAAGTGAATGGTCCTGATCATGTTTTCTACTACTTCTTACCATGCATGAAGCATCTGTCAAACAATTAAGCTCGAGAACTTTTGGAAAGATTTATGAAGATGACTTCTGTAATTTTTTTCCTCTCTCTTTTGGGACTAATAGAGGTATTTATTTGAATATTATTCTAAAACTGTCAGCAGTATTAAGCTCATAATCTCAGACACGGTATATATATATCATGGTATATAACATGGTATGATTAGCCGTGACGTTGGGGCTAGGCCAGGCTGGTCGAGGGAAGGTGGATTTTGCATCGCTGCACCCGTTTGCTCTGGGGTCAGCGCCCACCCGAGCACCCTGCTGCAATGCACCCGTTGCTCTGCCTCGTCCCTGGGGACCTCCCTGCTACCTGCCCCGGGCAGGGTGTCCATGTGGAGCAGGTATGTAATACAATTACGAATGAAATTATTAATACTCTTTTCTCTTTCTCCAGATGCTTATAGACTGAGGACTGGATCACTTCCCAGTATGTGTTCCCATTTTTTTTATCCAGAATAACCTTACTAAAATTTATTTCATGCGTAGGTTTAAAGCAGCATCACGTTACCAAACGTATTTGGATTGTGGATGCCTGCTTGGTATATACAAGCAAGTTTTTATTATCAGTGTTTCATTCCACAGGTATTTTAATTATGCGTAGTTTATAATCTTGAAAGTAGTCTTCGTACCTTTCCAGAAACGAAAAATTTAAACCCTTTGAAAATGACTACAAAAGGGCTGGAAAAACATACATTAATAAGCTGAAGGAAACGTGGACTCGTAGCATGTTGATTTCCAGGGCTTGAACCACAGCTAGGCCCATAACTTGTTCCGTAACGTGAGTAGTGAAGCAGGCACCACTGCCCTGGCCATAGCTCTCTCCAGCATTGCCAAAAGTCACTAGCGAGGATGGGAGATGCAGTCAGAGGTCCATAGCTGGTCTTTGGTGGGGCTCGAAGATCACCCGGGACATCTGAAACTGCATCTTAGCCACGTCCATGCTGTCACGAAAGGAGGGATAAATCCCCTTCCTGGAGGATGATGGGCTGGTGTGCATGGCCGCAGTTTGACAGGACGTTGCAAAAGCATCTACCCCCAGCAAACGGGCCCAGTCACCTCCCTGGCGCAGTGTGGGGACAGCCACGTGGTCGCTCAGCCTCACTCGCAGCGGGGAGCAGCCCGAATCTCCCTTCGAAGGGGCCACGGGCTGCCCACGTAACACCTGAAAGCGGAGCCACCGTCGCCCGGCAAACAGTGCCGGCGGCGGCAAGCGACCCCGACCGAGTGGGCGGCTGGAAGTAACTGAGCCGCCCGCCTCGGCGTGACGTGGGCAACCTCTCGTTGCAGGTCGCTGGCGATTCCTGTACCAGTCCGGAAGC